CCCGCGCGACGCGCGTGTGCAACGGGACTGCCTACCTGTCAGGTGCCCCTTAGGCTAGGCCGGCCCGCTGCAACCACTCCCGGCCAACAGGAGTTTGAGCCGTGCCCATCTTGCAGGTGGAGTACCTGTTCACCGACAAGACGGGCACGCTGACGGAGAACGTCATGGTGTTCCGCCGCTGCTGCATCAACGGCGTGCCCTACCACGAGGTGCGCGGGGTGCTGCGCGAGATGGACAGCTCGGCCGCGGACGTGGACTCGCGCGCCGGCGACCCCGTGGAGGGGCTGACGGCCGCCATGGAGCACTTCTTCCTGGCCCTCGCCCTTTGCCACTCGTCCCAGATGGACTACGAGGAGAGGTTCGACACGCTGGACGGCGCCGAGTTCCAGTACGAGTCGAGCAGTCCGGACGAGCGAGCCCTCTTGCAGGCGTGCGCCAGGTGGGCGCCGACTGTGTTCAAATTTGAGAGCGGATGTCTCCGATCCGATGACGGAGGTCACGAGGTCACAGTCTAAAAAAAGAAAGCTCGAGCATACATTTTGTTGGTGTTCTGCGATTACGTTCAGGGGTCACGCAAAGGGCTACAAGTACAAAGTGCCACCAAAGCCGAGGAATTGCAACAGACGAATGACGGGGCTGGCGGAAGTGAGTCGGCGTAAGTTGAGTGCACTTATGGCACATGAGGGCCGATATGACTGTTTGCCTCGTCACCACCTAAACGGGCAGGCACCGGGCGTTAAACTACTTACACCTTGAGAGGCACTCACATCCTCTGAAGGGTGCTCACATCCTACATCCTGCATGACCAGCTAGGGTTGGATTGGAAGTGTATGGTAAAAGGGGCGCTCCAGCCAGGTACCCTGAACTACCATGCTTGCTGCATACACGAGGGTAGTTACAGATAGGGGAAGGGGCCCACAGTTATTTGAACCCGCTTGGGCCTCTAGTGCTCTCAGTGGGGTAGAAGTTCCAACGGCCGGTCGCGTTCCACCGGGTCTGTTTGCCCAGGACCAGGACTCAGAACGTGTCTCTCGACGTTTAGAGGCATCTGGCGATGAGACAGAGGCATTGTGCACAGTTGTCATTAGCCTGAAGTTTAGTAGTGCCCACAGGCACCCGTCATCTCAAGCTTACTCACTCGTACCTGCTCCGTCGCCCACCCGTTGCGACGTCTCCAACATGACGAGCTGCTTTCAGGACTACATTTTCTCTTTTCTCCCAGCACTTGACTCCTAAACGCCATCGAAGAGCGCCCAAAATTGGCACACTTTCATTTAAATTCATAACTTCTTTTTTTGGAACGGCCTTGCCCCGTTGGGGATTTGAAAGGGTTAAGCACCATCACATCAGTGAAGAAGTGGGAGTACTCACGCTTTTGTGTCACCAGGTGCGGGGTCGTGTTCCTGGGCGAGTCCAGCGGCTACTACGTGGTGCGCGCGCGCGGCAAGGTGTCTGCCTACCGCCGCCTCGAGGTGCTCGAGTTCACTTCCGGTCAGGACACCCGTCCCGTAGCCCCTTGGCCTCGACTGGAGTCGACGCACTGACTTCTCTCTCCCTCCTTCCTTTCAGAACGGAAGAGGATGTCGGTCGTCGTACGGGACCCTTCCAACCAGATCTGGCTGTTCTGTAAAGGCGCGGAGTCCACCGTGCTGCCCTTGGTGACGCACGGTCAGAAGACGAGGACCATGGACTGCATACAGGAGTTCGCCATGGTAATTAAGAGTGGAATGAGCAGGAATGAGGTTGGGCCGTTGGGTGACCTGACTCCCGCCTAACCGGACCTGCTGCGTAGCGTGGGCTGCGCACCATGCTGGTGGCCTGCCGGCGCATCCCCCGCGAGGAGTACCACGCCGCCATGCTGGCCGTTCGGAGCGCCCGCTGCACCATGGCCGGGGACCGCGAGTCGCAGATCTCGAGCGCGTGCCTCGGGGTGGAGCGGGACCTGACGCTGCTGGGTGCCACGGCCGTGGAGGACCGGCTGCAGCCGGGGGTGCGGGAGGCCCTCGCCAACCTGCGGGACGCTGGCATCAAGGTGGGTGGGGTGAGGTGTGAGGGAGGGTCCGTCCTGTCGCGCCAACAACCGCCCGTCCCCGTCACACTGTTCCCGCTACAGACGTGGATCCTCACGGGGGACAAGGTGGAGACGGCCATCAGCATCTCCTACGCCAGCCGCCACTTCCAGCTCGAGTCGGAGCTACTGTTCGTGACGGAACACACGAGCGGTCCCGTCGTCACCAGGACCCTGCGCGTGCTGCGGGACCGGCTAGTCTCAGGCGACAATTTCGGCCTGGTGGTGGACGGCGAGTCCCTGGCGCTCGCCCTCCAGCACGCCCCTGACCTGCTTCTTGAAGTGGGACTCGCCTGCCCCGCCGTCGTCTGCTGCCGCCTGTCTCCCCTGCAGAAGTGCCAGGTGGGCGCCTGTTCCACAGTGTCGCCGTGCCGCAGATGGTGGCGTCATGTTACTGCTCTGACTACAGGTCGTGAGGCTCATAAAGAACTCCAGGTCTCGACCGACCACCGCGGCCATCGGGGACGGCGCCAACGATGTGTCCATGATCCAGGAAGCGCACGTTGGGCTTGGTGAGCAACTGTTTAATGCATGGCATTAAATGGACGCATTTCCTTTCAAGGAACCCCTTGTGTGCTTTCAGGGCTGATGGGTAAGGAGGGGAGGCAGGCGGAGCGCTGCTCCGACTTCGCCGTGGCCAGGTTCCGCTTCGTGCAGCGCGCGCTGCTGGTCCACGGCCACTGGTACTACTACCGTCTAGCCATCCTGGTGCACTACTTCTTCTACAAAAACGTTGTCTTTGTACTTCCACAATTTTACTTCATCATCTTCACTGCGTTCTCCCCACAGGCAAGTAAATTGTTAGATGATTATTTTGAATTTTTTTTATGAGCATATTTTGTGTTTTCAAAAGAGAAGTTGGTTTTGTGTCTGAGAAGAAAGAAAAAACAGTTAAATCTATATACCTCATGTACATTGATTGCAGTCCATGTACACATCAGTATTCCTCACTTGCTTCAACATAATCTTCACATCAGCTCCAGTACTGGTTTATGGTTTGCTGGAACAAAACCGCCCTTCATACCAACTCTTACAATACCCTCCACTGTACAAAGGTCATCAGGGAAATAGGCTCATGAAAACTAGTCACTTTCTTGTATGGTTGACTGCAGGTACGATTTTGTTTTTCTCAAATCTTTAAAAAATTGTGACTAAGATACCTTTTTACCTAACTTCATACAAGTAATTAATTAAAAATTCTGTGTTACATTCTTTGTGTTGACAGCACTGTTACACACCTATAATTTAAAGAATTTTTTGTCCACTGCCAAGATGCAGTTTTGTTTTCACTACAGCTCATGAGATAAATACACCATTGAAAATATTGGTCAATAAATTCCAGCAAAAACATTTTACCATGGTTCCATATGAGTTGCTTGTCTGTTTTCAGGTTGCAGGTTTCAATAAGCAAACTACTGCAGCAGTCAACTCATGGACTTTCCGTGGTGTGACAGTGCTTCAATAGAAGTATGTAACGCAAATAATTTTTGTAGCTTTATAAATACTTCAGAAAGAAAACTGTTACTGTTAATATTCCTGATGAATAGGATTTAATGTGAAGTTTACAATTGGTTTCAGGAATCTGGCATTCACTTGTGGTTTTCTTTGTACCTGTTTTGGCTTTACATTGCAACACAGTCCTGCTGGAAAATGGATCAGAGATTGATATGTTGTGCTTAAGTACTCTAGTTTACAGTTCAGCTGTACTTGTTGTTAACTTTAAGGTAAATTAATGTAATTGATCTATTACTGGAAGACCATTTGTGAATTATCCAGATAAATGTAAAAACTTCCCCATATTTATGTTTGTTACAGCTCCTACTTATTTCCCAGTACTGGACTTTTCCATTCCTATTATCCATAATTATTTCTCTTTTACTTCTCCATGTAATTAATTTGATATATGCTGTTATTGACATGTAAGTTTTTATACTTTTGTAAATGCATGTTTGTGAATAACTAGTAATAACATTCCCTTTTCCTCTATTATCTAGAGACAAGTTGATTAATCAGCAAATGTTCTATGTATATATTGAACTTATAAGTTCACCGCTGTTTTGGCTGTTTACGCTATTCTCCATCTGGTTGGCACTCCTCCCTGATATCATGATTATCATAATATCAAATTTTAAAAAGGCCCGGACGGACCCAACTTTTAAGTTTACGAGCACGGTCAGCATTTGATTACAGTACTCGCCTTGAAACTTTGTTTTTATAGCACATGAAGAAGGACAAATAATTGCAAACACAGCAAATTAATTATTTGCTTTCTTTCAGATGCTATGCTGTATTCAACGAAAGGAAAATTGGGTTGCAGGAGTCAGAACAGAGTTTAGTAAAAAGTCAAACAAAGTTTCAATGTTGCAATCAAGACGAAATAGGTCTCCTCGTCAACCATTTCAATCAAATACAGTGAACCAATCTCTCTCTCCAGATATAGCATCCAGAGAACATTTGACTACTGATGGGCATGAGGCTCAACAAGAAAGTAACGGAATTCCATACGATAATGAACAATGAATTAATTTGTACAAAGTACGAAAAATAGTTCATTTAATTACCCCTTAATCCTATCTCTTACAATTTCTTTCATTTTTTTTAAGAAGAGACATAAGATACCTGATAACACATCATAAGTTATGGCTTAAATACGTAGAAGTGTGGAGTTACCACTGATCACGGTCATGAGATCGAGAGTGGTCTTCACTTGGCCGTTGTCTGCGATGGTCTCTGTTACGTCCATCATCTCTTCCATGATGATCACCATATCCGCTTCGGTTGCCATGCCTGCCTTGATCACCTCTAGAATCTCTCCGTCGGTCTCTATCATGGTCTCTATCTCTGTCACGGTCTCTGCTTCTATCTCGGTCCCTGCGACTGTCATTACGACTGTGATTGGGGTAGTCTCGACCTCTGTTTCGTCCATTGAAATCACCACCACCTCTTCCTCTTCTGGAGAAGTCAAATCTTCGGCGAGGCTTGTTATACCAAGGTTCGATTATTGGGGGATCCGACAATGGTGTGGTATGCTCTTCCCAATAAACTGCATCAGATTCAGTAAATCTGTCATGAAATTCATCTTCAATAGCATCCATGAACTTTTTCTGTTCTGCTGTCAGATCCATAGTTGATAGAACACTGCGAACAAATCTGAAGTGAAATAAGACAAAATTGATTACATTATAAACACAAGATTGAGATAGATAACCCGTCAAATTGTAAAGGGTGATGCTTGAGTTCTTACCTCAACTCTTGATAGAATATCGCTACTTCTTCAAT